AATATTAAAAGTGTGAAATTATATTTCTGCGATAACTGTGGGACACTTGTTTCTAAATAACAACTGTTCTAGTAATACGGTAACTGCTCCATCCTCTGAGACAGTTCTATAATATCACAAAAGATTTTAGAGTATACATTGTGAAATAAAGAAGTTTGTTATCAAGCTGAAGGTGAACTTATACAAAAAATGAAGCTGTGACTAGTGAGTGTGAGCTAACAATACAAAGATATGAAAGATAGAAAGTTATACACATAATTACGGACAAGTTCATGTCAGATTTATGCATTCCTATTGCAAGTCAGGTGGTAGAGTTGCAAGAAACGGGAAATATAAAAGTTTTAAAACTATCTTTTTATTTTTAATGTACGAGTGGCAATATATTCATTACTACTTCTAGGACTACTGGGTAGTTGATATTAGCACATTAGGGTAGCTAATAATGGCACATTGTACTGTTGTGTTTTATTCTAGTAAGAGCAGAAACAAGTTACACAGTTAACATTATTTGCAAAAAAACAAACAAACGTGGGAATTTATTATTTTTTTAATGTGTCCTATCGCAGCATTTCAGGCATATATTACACTACCATATGGAGCAGATGGTTGCCTACCTGTGCCATGGCAGTTTTGCATTGCAAAAATGAACCTCAGGACAGTATCCAGACTATGTTAATAACTTTATTAAAAAATTCATCTAAATGTCAACTCTTTGGAGTAATTCTCAGTCAATGTGTATTTTAAAGTCTGCCTATGCAACAAAATAAAGGATATGCTTATAAAGATCGATAATGTAAGTAATGATCAGAATATTAACTTATGCGAGTGGATGCAGTGATTGTAGATTTTTTGGTTCCAATTTGTTTCAACTTTTTTCTCAATACTGTGAAACAGGCGAACATGTGTTTGCAGTTGTACATGATTGTCATGTGGCTCCGCAACCAGATAAGCAAGGTGACCGTGAATTGCTTCATATGCATTCCCACACATCTTCCATCACTCTGAGCTGTCAGGGAGCGGTCAATAAAAAACATCATGCAGGAATTACTGAACAGTTTGGGGATATGATGTGCAGTGGGGTTTCTTTTTTTCCTCATTCGCTGAGACACAGCTAGACCCTCCCCTCTACTAGCAATCTTCACCTTCTTGATCTTTAAACAAATATTTTTTCAGCTAATAAAGAGCCTAGTGGCCTCAAAACAGTTATATTAACTATAGTATAGAGAAACCTAAATGAAAAACGCTACAATCTATTGGCACATGAAAAAAATACTGACATATGTAGGGATTTAAGAGGTAAAAAATTACTTCTCAGAGATTCCTGCACTTATTTTTTCCCCCAAAAGAAATACGGCTTCGCTTTAGGCTGGTAACAGTTTACAGTAAAGAATGAAAACAGTCCAGGTTCAAGTAGTTCCCCTCTGTTAACCAGGACTGACAGTTTACCCTGAGGAGCAGTGAAATGGTATAATATCCTGAGTAAAACCCTCCCATTCCCATTTATCATGAGAATAAATCTGTTCCATTGTCGCTTCCCAGAGTCTGTGGAGCCGAGAGAAGCAGCAGCAAAATTAGAACGTAATCTATCTAAGAGGAACAGGCGTCGAGAAGACTAGATCAATAACCCAGAGAATTCGAGCCAAGAGGGGATGTTTTCAGATAAAAGGACAGTGAACTTCACAAGGCAATTCCAATACAAATGTTGGGCTTCTAATAGTTCTGTCTAAGGTTTGAGGACAGAATGTATGTCCCACAGGTTTGAAGAAAACCCAAAGAGAGGGTATCAAAGGCTTCCAGCACAGAACTATAAACCTATTGTTCTCTAAACTTAAATAAAACAGGGTTGGCACATATTCCATTACCACCGTCTTAGACAACATTAGACTGCAGCGTTGTGAGAGTTATCCTTTTGTGTGAGCAGAGTTGGCATCTGTACCGATGCAGGGTGTGTCTCTGCTTACGGCTGCACCCTAGACATCAATACGGCATCAGTAATGACATCTCCCCAGAGAGCTCTGGGCTCAGGACCAGCCAAAGCATGGAAGCAGAGATGATCGAAGAAAAGGACGAAAAGAAAGTGGTCAGATGACTAACGACTGTTCAACCGAGCAGAGCTGTAATTACACACTGATGAGTAATAAAAATGACAAAACAAAGAACAGAAATTTAAACCGGCTGTTGCATATTGACTGTAACAACTAGAAGTTTTTATCTTCAATACAAGCCTTTTCTTTGCAGTAGATTAAACTATGTTTAAAGTCCCCAAATTCTTCAATATAATCCATTGTTACAACCACAAAGATACTAGATATTAAGATATTTTATTTGAGGGGAACACCATAAAATAATGATAGTAATAATGGGAGTGGTGGCCTAGTGGTTAGGGCATTGCGCTTGAATCCCAGAGGTTCTGAGTTCAAGCCCCAATTGAACAGACTGACACCCTGGGTCCGTGAGCAAGACCCTTAACCCCACTGCTCCCCAAGTGAATTTCGTTGCTTTGTATTTGACAGTGTAATGTAATAAAGTTGAATTTTAAATTCTTCTATTCTATAATGTTTTATTCTAAAGAAGAATCAAAACAATATTTAGCTTTTTTAACTTTTTTCCAAAATTGAAATTTACTCAAATACAGATAAATCAATTTGAATGCAACCCCATTCTGAAGACAACTACTTGGAAAAAAGATTCCAAATGTAAATGAAACAGTGCCATAAATGTCTAGAATATCTGTTGAAGAGATGTAAAAAGAGATCAGGATTATTTTGACAGGCTTACCTAAAACTGCTCAATTTCTAAATATAACTCTGCAGTTTTTGGACCATGTCTAAGTTGGCGCAACATGAAAAGAAGCTTCCGCATTAAAATATAAAAAGCATCCCATCCTAGACTGGCTGCAAGATGTTGAAAAATAAACAACATCAGAGCTGCAGTGGAAGATATCCATTTTAGGCTTGAAATATTTTTAGTTTATAATTTTTTTCTGCTTTGTGCTGCTTGGAACAGCATGACTTAAAGTTTAAAAATGCCACACACTTTCAAGTATAAAGGAAGCGGTAATAATTACATGAACATTTTCCCTTTGCATGACAGTCCAAAAGCTTTGAATTGCGTCTTAGTTTTTTTTTTTTAAGGGACACACTGACAGCCCTTCATAAAGCTTGCAGAGAAAAACACACATCATCTGTGATTTTTGTCACACTAATAACACTCCTGCCAAACTCCAAGTGGGAGAAGAACTTTAAGGAAATCCAGAGGTAACAGATGACCATTGGGTGAATAAGAAGGTAAAAGTTTAGAGCCTTACTGAGATGGATAGGATTAACTGATAGTAATTAAAGATGTAACCTCCCCTCTTAGGGGACCAGCAGAGGTCTGGTCCCCTATCAATCATCAGGTATCGTGAGCAGCCTAAACCAGCGGGCTAACGGGGCGCTGTGGACAGACATTCCATCTTAACTGCCAATCATTCTTCAATCTGCCAGGCTCACATAAAAGTCAAAGAAGATTTCAAAGATCCGCTGACACCATCAAGCTGAGGCACAAGCTGTATTTGTAAATGATTAAGGTCGGCCAGCAAACTTCAAGCTAAAAACTTCACTTAGTAACATTGTTCTTGACTATTTTTTAAACAAATCAGAGCCATGAAACTCAGTTTCAGCAGACGGCGTCTTATCGTCGTAAACAATCACAGATGGAAGACTGTTGAATGCAGGTTCTCAGGAGTCTCTGTCTCCTGTGTACATAGCTACAGATTTCTATGTAAATAACATTTAGTCCTGCTCAAGCTTTGTTAGCATCTGTAAACATCAATTTTCCACTCTTGCCTCAAATTCTGGACTGGAATCAGGCTTTGAATATGACGGGACACATGAACGGGCTTTGTTCTAAACCACAGGTGTCAAACTCTAACCACTGAGGTCTAGTGTCGTGCACCTTTTAGATGCTTCTTGGTTTTAACAGACCTAAATCATGTATCTAGGTGATTGGGAGGACTCTGCAGACCATGACAGCATGCTCAGGGGGTAATTCAGCCATTTTAATTAAGTTTGCTTGACTAGACACATATCTAAAAGTAGCAGGACACTGTTTCACAGCCCTATTCTAAACTATTCCTCTGGCTGTATGTTTAGGGTTATTATAGTTTACTGCCAAAAGAAGTATTTTGTGATATCCAGACAAACTTTAGGACCTCCTGACGCTTAAAAATATGGGTTTGAGTTCTGACCAAAAACAAGCTGTTAGCAATGCAGAGCCAGGATCAATAATATTTATTTAGTCTCAGAATTTTTGAGGGTATTTATTTGCATAAACAGGTCATGCAACTGACCTGTTTATGCTTCAAATGCTCCATTATAATAGAAAACACTTCAAGCCAAACACCATTGGCTAGAGATCATCAACAAACTCTGTCTGCAGAATAAAAAAGTATAGATTTATACAACTAAACTTTAATGTTACAATGCCTTTGAGTTGAGCCATTAGCTCAACTCAAAGGCGTATATAAGAAAAACTTTTTTTCTTCTAACCTTTCAACAGTTGTGCTCAGCAAAGTACAGTGCTTGCTTTATTTGGATAGACGGATAAAGGGTTATTTGAGTCCAATGGTCTGCTGTCATGGGAGGCTTAGCCACAGCTGTAGAGGACTAATCTGCAGCCGACGGTGAATATTTTCTGCTTCGGTATGCTGTGAGGCACCCCAAGAGATGCATGTAGGGGATTAGCTCGAGTTATAACTGTAATTCAGGCTGCTATATAGAGAGGAAATCACTTGTGTGTCTGCTGTTAGTATTACAGCTGTGTGTAGGGGGGGCTGGGGTCAGGAGTTCACATGATTAACAGGCAACGGAGGAATTTTTAACCTCTCTGAGCTTTTTGTAATGTGAAGTCAGAGGCTCATAGCAAAATAAAGGACCGACATCGTTCTTTTTATATGCAGCATCACTGTAGAGAATAGAAATGTGGGCTGAATGGAAAGTGATAAAAACAGGATCACTAACCTTCGCCTTGCCGGTGCTCTGAAGAATGTGCACGAGCGCGCACGCCACTTCCTCCTTGTTCTTGACGCTGAGGGCCGGCTCCAGCACCGAGCACAGCAGCATGTAGTTGTTGGTGGTGTACTCTGCAAACTCCTTATACATCTCCATTGGAAGGATGTTCATGCTCTGATAGCGAGCCTTGATCCTGATCATGGGGCCTGAAGTCTTACCCTTAGGGGGGGTGGGAGTGCTTATAGGGTACCACTTCTCTACAAACTGCCGTCCGGTGACGGATCCCACAGGGATGCTGACGAGTCCAATGTAATTGTTTTTGTCTTTCTTCTTCTTCTTGTCTGTGTCCTTGTAGAGGTGGACCGTGATGCTCCTGACGGCGGGCAGGTTGCTGAACTCAAAGTGCTCCCCCCAGAACACGTTATCAGTCTTGAGCTTACAGGTAGTGCGAGCGTACAGTGAGTCATCGAGGAAAAGCTCACAGAAATATTTCTTTTTGGCCGGCAGGTCCTTGACCTCGATGATCCACAGCCTCAGCATGTTTTCCACTCGCCGGCTGTTGTCCTGAGGAGAGAGTGTAAAAGGATCAATGTTAACCTTAAAAACAGGTGGGAGGAAGAAATATAGCCACAGAAATAGTTCAAGCATTTGACTTTTTCTCATATTAAAACACATTTAATTAAACTCTATTTCTATTTTTAACTATATAAACCACTGAGAAGAAATTTTAAATGTGTCCATAAAGTAAGAGAATTATCTGCTTTAAACTTTTTTTTTCTCACTGCTGCAAAGGTGTTCCCAGGTCATCACCTGATTTCACCAGGAGCGGTCAGCACTTTTGTCACATACGGAAATAAGCCCATGGTTAATATTCCTACTGTATGGATGCAACAAAAATATTTTGTCACATTGCATCTACAAAATTTGACAATTTGATCTGGACTCCATGAGATAGACAAATAATTAGTTATATAGCCTCAATGATTAGCCTTCCAGCTTCCCTCAATCTGACCACCATGTTTCAATTTGATGATGGTGCTTCACTGTTAGTTTTCTGCCAGATAGTTCAGTTTTAGTCCAGAGCACTTTCCTCCACATGTTTGCTGCATTTCTTATATGGATTCTGCTACATTGAACAGGGTGAGTTTTGCCTTTCTTCGTACAAAACTTCAACAAAGACATAATTTTGTGTGAGTGTTAATTGTCCTGTTTATAGATGAAAAACCCCAGATCAAATAGATAACAGATAAAGACAGTATTTTATCCATCCCCTTCACAAGTATTTACTGCTTTGTGTTGGGATACTGTGGAGAGAGGGAGTTTAACATTGGAACGCTTAAAGGTCTATCAGTTCAGTCAGGTTTGTTTTTACAAAGATTTGTTCCTGTGAGAGAAAAAGGACCTTGAAACAACAGCAGCTTGTTAAATGATGAAAAAAAAAATTGAGCTCCAGTGTTCTTCTTACTTAATTCCGCATTTAACACAAAGGACGTCCTTAAGAGAAACAAAGAAGAGATTCTTTCCCATGATGTATTGCAGTATAAACAACAGACTGAGAATGAATGAAGTGTGATATTCTTCCTGATCATCTCAAACTGCAACTGGTCCTGTATTGCTACTAATAACTAGTGCAAAGGGAATGTATAGGGCATGCATCTATGCGCATAATGGAGTTAAAAGCAATTTCATAAAAGAGAATCCTTTTTGCCCAGCTTTGAGTAAAAATGTGATATATTGAGTAAGAGTGGGTGAAAATTTTTTATAGCAGTTGATAAAACGGATGGAGCTTTTTACCATATTGGTCCTGACTTTTCTTTTGATCTGTTATACTGATGAGGTTTTAAAGAGATAGTTTCTTGCAAATGCAAAAACAAGTGACTTTTAATTTATGTTAGCCTAACCCTGATTCAAGTGATGCCTTTAAATGAGCTCTATCAAAAAAGTTATCTTTTATCTGTTTAGAGGGAACAATTGTTATCAGTATCTATGCAACACCTCCGTAATTTGAGTTCATTTTACTTGGAGCACGTTTCCTGTGTAAGGTGTATGGCAATACAGCACTTACTTGTGTAAGTGCAAATGAGTTCTTCTCATCCGTTTCTCTTCACATCTTTTAATCTAAAGTGTTTGGGTGCTTACTAGACTGTAGCAGGGGTCCATGTCTCATTGCACTGGAGAAAATTTGAAATCTAAATAAGTATTTCTTTTTTCTTAAAATATAAGTGCATTTATTCTTGAATTGAGGAGGTAAGTGAGACACTTTGCGAGTGGTACAAGACAATTTACATTTAAAATAAGAAAAAAGCAATTACATTGTCCTGATTTTAAGTGCATACTATCTAATTATCTCATTTTAAGAGTAAAAATACTCATTCCATTGGCAGATCATCTTATTTACCTACTCAGATTAAGGGTAAATACACTTGATTTAAGAAATAGTGACTTGTTTCTAGATAATTTTTGCTAACTTCTTAAAGAAAACAAAATACTTATTTTTATCTTTCATTTTGCATTAGTTGATTATGGGACTTATATCCTCAACTTTTCTAAAAAGAGAATTAACAATAGTTCCACTTGGATTTGCTGTTTTTAAGAATTAAAAAGCTTCTATTAAAGAGAAAATTTAATAGAAGCTTTTTTTTTTTGCATCTTGATTCAGTTGTTTGACCTCTCCCTTTAAAAACATAGAGCCATTAATGTAAGCACCTTTTGGTTGCTCTGCAGGTCAATCCCCCCTGAATCCTTGAGGCAATTCCTCCTACACACTGGGGGTGAAAAGCAATCACTTCCAAACCACATTTATTCTTCTAAAGCATGCTTAAGTGCTTTATGTGCTGAGTCAGTCAGTTGCACAGGAGGTGCTAATATCAGGTTATTTTACCATCTGAAATCAAAAGATGAACAGAATGTTGCTGTTCAAACTTGGGTTGAATTAGACTTCATCTATGAGTCTGAATCTGACTTTACAGAGCAGCGGAAAACAGATGTGTTCCCTTTAAACATTTTCAGATAGCATGTAAAGCAAATACATGTAGATACAATGAAAAGTGCATCAATGTTTTGGGTTCTTTGATGCATGTCTTTTATGCATGTAGACAATTATATTTTTTCGCATTGTTCAGCGAGTTGAATGTTGGTTAACGTTCGATACTTTCATCCAATTCAGCAGCCTTTTGCAGCTCTAACAGGTTTTATTCTTGACTCCAGCATAAGGCAGAGGACACAGGAATTTGGTTTAATCAATTTTTTTTTATTAGCTGTGAAATCTCTTTCTTTTAAAATTGTTGGCCATTTGCAGGTTGTTAAAACATTTTAAAAATGCAGAAAGGAAGAACATTTGTTTCTATCTTGTGTCATTCATAAAACTGTACTACTGAAGCTCCTGGCAGGACTGAAGTAATAGTTGAGTGGTGGGTGTACAATTATGTTAATATGTCAGTTTCAAATATGCATGTTTATTTATACAGATACGATAATATAAATGTTCTTATAAACAGTGCTGTCCCCATTTATCAGAACCCCTGGTAAAAACTTATAAAATGCCCTAAAAAATAAATATTTTATTGCAGCAGCATAAATTATGTGCTTAAAAATCGGGAGAAAGTACAGCCTTTAAAGTTAATACATATATCACCAGAGGACACACATATCTTTTCTTTAAAATAAATCAAACTTAATATTTTATTGATATTTTACATTTAAGACGATTAGAATTAAAAGTGACCAACTAGCAGGGGGCATCAAAATGACAAGACACAGAGGCCTTCTTTTACCCACCGGCCTGGCTGCATGATGACATACTTTTTTATCTTTTTAAGTGAGCTTCATGGTTAGGGAGGTACAAATAAAAACAGCTTTGAAGTTAACATCATGCTCAATGTTAACCATAGTGGAGAATGGGTGATGCTAACGGCTTTCTTTTATTTTAGTCTTTCAGAGACCATGGGAATCTTGTCGGTGCCCAATGTAATAGTCAAATCACTTCATAAAAAGCAGATCAATCAACATAAGATCTCAATAAATTGCAATAAACGATGACTTGAATGCTTTTTTTATACATTTCAACAATAAGTGCCCATTATCATGGTCCACATAGTAGTTTCAAATAATATTAACCACATCGTAGCTCCACAGTATCGACAAGCAAAAGAACTGTTTTAGAAATCCAGTTATTGAGCAGATATCTAAAGAATGGGAGGTTTAGAAGTGGAAACATCTTGATTGGGACAATCCTCTTACCTTGACATTCTTGCCACACAAAAATGAAAAGTTTTTCTCCATTCCACCTCTGGATCCTAAACTTTAGAGTCGTGCTCTGCAAGAACCGCTAACCTTGCTGCGAAGACTAAATGCTGTTGTTAGTAATTACTCCAGTGTCGACACCGTAATGTGTCTTTATCTGTGTTGTAAGACAGGGTTTAGTAACTAGGACGCTTGAGCTCACTTGTGCTTATTGCCCAACAGTTCCCCAGCCACAGGTACAACCCATGCATTTACATACCTTGTTTGGCTGCACGGCTCTCCTCAGATTCTCCATCCATTTGTCTCTCTCAGCTGCAGAACGGCAGGAAAAACATTTACTTCCTGTGGAGGTGGTGACCTATCGCAAAGACAGACAGAGGGAAAGCAAATTTATGATGATCGAACCTTATCCATGAAGGAAGACACCTAAGATTTCACTATAAAAGGACATAAAAAATATTCCATTGCTGATAGAGAGATCATCTTGTTAAGAAAAAGAAAAAACAGAAGTAGTTGACTTGGAACAGAAAATGACCCAGCAGTTAGGAAACGCTTCAGTCATAATAATGAAGAAAGAGGATGGCTGTGGTTGATAGACCCTTGATTTCAAAATGCAGAATTAGGAAACAGCCGCTATAGAATGAATAGCTGTGATCCTAATCTGTTTACATTAGAGATAGACCAAAGCATCGACCAGACAATCTTTCCTGTAACATCATTGGCTGAAACATGCATGCATTGGCCCATTTATAACGGCATTAAGCAGCCATGCCATGAGATCATTTGGAATGCATGCATTGCTGCCCCCCTCCATTTGCTGTAAACTGTCAATGTTTCGTTTGGTGCACATTTTTGTCACTTTTTTGCACATCTTGGGGTTACACTAATGTCAAAATCATCGGCATCAACATTTTAAAAAACAGCATAGTTCAATGTCTAGCCTAGATCTACTTTGCACATTTTCTAAGAAACTTTTTAAGATGTTAAGCCGTCTGACTCTAATACCTAATAATGCTATTATGTAAAAGCACAGATATAAGAACTGTAGGGCTTTAATAAATCAGACAGCTAATTTTATCTGAGTGGATCTGGCTGTCTAGAGATTCAGAAGTCATAGTTTTGTTAAGTTCTGTTCTCTTTTACTGGACAGGAAATGTGTAAAAAAATATGGGAATAAGTAGCTTACTGTTAAGAGAACTGTTGGAAACATATTACTAGACAGCAACAGTATGATGAGGATCATAAATTTGATTAATAATATTGGTTTCTTTGTAAATACAATCAACAGGTAAAAACCCCACAAAAAATAAAACAGTGAATGAGCCTGATAAAATGTCATGCACAGAGTCATGCCAAATGTTTGGGATCTTCTCTTTGCAAAGATGTCCTTGTCAGCATTTTTGCAAATACATTTGAAAAATACAATTTACAAGTAATATCAGTAAGTCCCATTCATGATTTGTCAGTAATAACTTTAGCGATGCAAACATTTCCCAACAAATTAAATAAAAATATGCTTGTTTAGATTCATTATCTAGAACAAGACAAAATGAATCAGACATTTAAAAAATTTTCTTCTATGTTTAATATAATATTTCAACAGTATCTATTAAATTATGTTAGAAATCATTCTTAACATAATTCTGTTTGCTTCTTAAGAAGTTAAAATATGTAGAAGATAAATGGTCACCACTATCCTTAATCGTAGATAATCTTTAGTTTCCTTTTAGTTCTGTTGGCATACAGCACATTTTTTTATTGCTTTTTTATCAAAATATATCTGTAAAATATAAATCCAACTGGAATAGCTGTTTAGAACTGCAGTAATTTGATTTTCTCCTGATGAATGAGAAAAAATTATTTGTTCTCTGGATAGCTTAGCCCTTCCTTTGCTTCTTAGTTTAAGAAACACTAAAAAGGTATATTGAATGTTTAATACTTAAACTGAGATGGTTGTTCATACTTTAACTTGATTTCACTTATGGTCCTCACTTGCAAATTAAATTACGGAAGCAAACAGAGCAAAACAATTAAAAATAAGAAAGAAAACTTCCAAAAAACTTATAAGTCAGATGTAACACTTTCCAAAAAACTGTCAGCAACTAAAAGTTCAATTGTTCTTGACAGAGTTAACGTACAAGCTCATTAAATCTCCTCCATCTTTGATGCTGATGGCTAAAGGTAATTTTATCTTTGAATGTGTAGCCACCTTACTTTTTAAAATAGTTAAAAATCACACACATATCTTGTGTGCTTTGGAATTAAGTAATGGAGAAAGAGGTTGTCACTTTTAAATATGAAAAGTATCCATAAATTATATCAACATCATCATAAATGCATAGTTTTTTTTGAGTAGGTTCTGTATCAGTATTTTTTAACAGTTGTTTTTTTTTACATTAGTAATTTCATTCAGATGAGCTTTATAATAAATAAACAGAAATTTTGGACGTAAAAGTGTTTGACAATGAGCTTAAAAAAATAACTAACAAACAAACAAACAAACAGAGAGTCATAACTTTGGTTGACCCAGAAATCAGAAGAAAACTAATTAAAACCAGACAATCTACGGTTACCTCTCGGCATCAACAGTACAGAGAGAACTACTTGAAACGGCAGCAGCAAGGCAAGCTTTAAGCATAACACTTACATATTATTAGCCTGTATCATTGTTTAGATGAATGCGTTTGTGATTAACAGAGATCACTACCCCCCCTTATCTCCGTTGGGTATCAAACCGGGCTCATTAGCAGCAGCATAGGGTGGGTTTTGGAGCTTTACTGTTGCCTGCTGAGACAGTAAACAACACTGATGAGACTGTTGAGTCATCATGAGTAAAGCTGAAGACGAGGGATCCAAAACAATCTACCAGTCTAAAAAATCGAGTAAAGTTTTCTCAAAACCAAAAGTCAAACTTGTTAAATCTTGAGAAATGAGAGAAAAATGAATTTATTCTGATGCTTTTATGCATGTGTGGACAAAACAGTAGGTGTACTGTTTGCAGGCAGCAGCATTTAGTGAAAGTATCCCTAAGGGACTATTTCAGGAAACTGGAGCGTTTAGAAATGGAGTGAAACAATGAAAAACCCATTTATGGCCATTTCACTTTTACATTTTGGAATAATTCCCTTCTATTAAGAGGGGAAAAAACAGAAGTTTCCCATGTTAGCTCTGGTCTATAATTAATGCAATAGAAAATTAAATCTAATACTTTAAATTATGTTAATTCTTTTTTTTATTCACAATAACATACTTTCTGGTGAAAGTTTCCTTTTTGTTGATGAGCTCAATTTAGTATGAACACATACTTAATAAGATGTCTGACCTTTTCATTTTTTGAGTGTATTTTTTTCTTTAGATGACATTTTAGAGAAGAAAATGATACAGAATTATAGTCGAGGTAATAATTAGATCAACTGATATTTCTCAATTCTCCTGGATCTATTATAGAAATACCAAATGCCTGCTAATAATCGCACATTCATTTATTTTCTGGATCTCAAAAGTTTTTTGAAAAGAAGTTACAACAATGAAACAGAATTCTGTACTGAAGATCTTTTTAACATTATAATTTGTTTTTTCTACTTTTCACTTAGGATTTTTGATTCACAAACTCATGTATTTGTTTTCAGATACATGTGGAAATGGTTTGTTTAAGAACAACTTTTTTCTGCCAACTAATTTAACCCTTTACATACTAAACCCTTCCTGTTTTTAAACTTAACCTTAGTTAGAAGAGCTGACTAGTTTCTATCAAAACCTGTCTGTAAGTCTTAGTTATATTTAAATCTGTACTTTGATTTTGACGTGAATTTTTTTTTTTTTGTATCCAAGCCATCCTATTAAATTGAATCACATCTGGAAACTGAACCTTTGTCAGGACTTAGGACTTTGGCAGCTTTAACATGTTTTTATTATCCCTGCACTCCATTAAACCCCTGACACATTCCCAGGAACCCTTCCCTGTCCATCATAAAGCAACGTGATGCTGCCTTCACCCTGATTCATCATTAATTCCATTTCAATGAACCACAGAAGGCCTCTTATTACCACCTAGGTGCTTTCTATATAGCAGCATTTTGTTTTATTTAGGAATGTGAAAGGGATGGGGTAATCTCTATAGGCATACCACACTATTTATATAGTATTCTACAGATTTTACTCATCACATCTAATTATTCATTATGTTCCCTATGTTAATCTTTCACATAAAGTTCCAAAGTACATAAATATTTGTTGATTTAAGGTGATAAAACGTCATAAGATAAAAAAGTGTCATTGCTAATAAAATGAACATCTTTCTCTGTATCCGATCCAGAACATCAGACAGGATTCCACTTTGATCATTTTTAAAGTCTCATCTTTTTGCTCTGGCATTTAAACCTGAAAATGACGTTGGTGTTATTTGGTTTAATGTTTTCTCTTTAATTTTCTGTGTTGTTTTTAATAATTTAATGGTTCTTGAATTTCTGCTTTTGTACATTTATTTGGTCCTGTTGGTTCTTAAATGATATATAAATAAAGTTTGGATTTGATATTGACTTAAACTTACGAAATGTTAAAACTAATCGTTGTTTTCTTACTTTCAGCATTGGTACTTTATTGAAATACAACAACATTAAAATAATATGTATTTAATGTTCTTTTTAACAGGGTATTTAAAGTATTAAAGCATGCATTACAGCTAGCTTTAATCAGTGATAGAAAAAAACTTAATTATCTGAATTTGATCAAATGAAATGTATGAAACAAAAATATTTTTTGGGGTTTTTTTTTGTTGTTTTTTTTTTCTTTCACTTGCATCTGTTAGAAGATGGATTTTGAGCAGATAAGAACAGCGGTTTAGACCTTTTCTAAAGACCAAAATAGTATGAAAGCCTTGCAGGTCCAACTCTCAAAAATGATTCTACATATTTAGCCTTTGAAGTCTCATGTGGAGAAAAGAGCGGCGGCTCACCTCGAAGCAGTAGTCCTGGCCGAGGATGCTGCTGTGCACAGGTTTGATGATGACCTCGTCCTCCATGCTTAAGTCCAGGGCTTCCACAGCACTACTGGGGCTGAGCAGTGATTCATGGGAGCGAGACTCCTTCAGTCTTGGCATCAGATGAGATCTACAAGAGGAGGAGAGCAGAGCAGGGTGAGAACTGAGTCACCGTCCAGAGTCTGAGCAGAGGAAGTACAGGAGAGGGAGCATATGCAAAAGCAAGTATTCATGGTGAGTGTGAAGAAAAGAGTGTGAGGATGACAGCGGCAGGCCACTTGCCTTGAAGCTGACAAGCTCACAGCGTGACAAGCTTGCAACTTATTGCACACCAGCACATGTTAACGCATTCACTTTGAGACTAGAGCTGAGGGATGCTTTGCAACCTTTATTTTACATATTTATGTAAAAATCAATAAAGTTAAACTGACAACACATGCTGCTAATTCAAAAACAGGGTGATAAAAATCTCAATATAGGAATTATTAGCATAGATTTTTTACTAATCTATCATATTCAATATATTTGACAGTACTGTTGTTGTCTTTCTGTGGTGTAGTTCAAGTATTTGACTTTAATAGGAGAGAATAGGGTTTTAATCCCAGGTAAAGAAGATAATCTGGCATAAAACCTATATAAAGTCAGTTAGCTGGTTCGAATAAATAGAAATGTCAAGTTAGCTGAAAAGTGTGGCATAGGCTTACCAACTACTCACAGATTAAAGAAGAATAAATGGAACAAAAAGCCAGAAAAATAAAGCGCTGATAATAGCTGAAAAAGTCATGATGTCTGAGGAAGCATCCAGTTTAATAATCTGGATGCTTTTGATTTATATAGAAGTAAAAACACATTTATAAGAGTTTGTTTCGATGCAGATACATTATGCAGAAAAAAAACTTATATTGCAAAATAAACCACATATCTTGTGCAGAGTGAACCTTTTTATATGTATTTTTAAGGTATACAATAGTGTATTTAAAAAAGAAATATATGTCCATGCTTTGTTCGATACCCGTAGATTTTAAGAAAATGATAAGATGTAAAAAAATAAAATAAAATTGTGGGTTGCAGTTATAAATATTTTTAAAAAAGCACAGCAGCCATATTGGATTCTGAGCCTGTGGTTATCACACTTCTTGATCTTTTTTTTATCTCTGCATTAGAATATCAACGTCCTAAAACTGACTGAAAACACCATTAGTCTAAATTTGGCCCAATAAGGATCCAGCAAAGCTGGAAGCAGAGTTTCCTTCTCAGTAACAGGGAGTAACACCTCTAAGCTACGGCAGGTTTGAATATCTTTTTCAGGATATGTTTTAGAACATAAAGGTTTGTAGTGTCTCTATTTTCACTGACCTTTCTTAATTACTTTGCTAACCTAAAAAAATCAGTTTCCTTACCTACTGAGGATTGGTTATGTTAACTTTGTAAAGATTTTCTTTTTTCAAGGTTTGAAATTGGTATCACCTGGCCTCCCTGACTGATTACTCCAAACAAGTGGGATCTGTGGGGCTAATTGAGTTCAATGACCTTGATTAATCCAATTTTAGAGCTGAAATTTCTTTCTGCCAGGTTACTTCATTTGCTTTTTTTTTCCCCACTTAGGACTGCAGAAAACAAAAACCCTGGATGGCTGCTTTTTAAAGTGTCAGAAAAAGTTAATTACATCTGCTTCCAGTTAGCGTTCCCATTTTTATGTATCACAGTCCCAGAAATTTAGAACCGAGGTGCCAAAATCACACTCTGAATGTTTTCTCAATCGAACAGTGATAAGGACTCGGCGTGCATCTTCAAGTGCTTCAATCCCCCGACAAATGCAACCGCAGGGCTCAATTCTTCATCTGTTTATTTTTGCCAAAGAAGATTACAAAACAAAGTAAAGAGCTCTTCACTGTTTGCAGCTTTTGATGCCGTCCTACTTTCTGTGTGTTGGTAGAGTTGAAGCGAGGGAATCTCAGTGCATGTGATTGCTGTGCATCAAACACTGATTATATATAATACTAAAAAAAGTTTTATGTTGTCCTGACAACTGGACCTTTTTCCATAAAATTAACTTGCAAATACAAGCTTACATGTGTTTTTTTTTAATAGATTTTATGTGATATAAGTGATAAAAGCATAATAATTTATGCAATATCATGATGGAATGAAAGAAAATGATTTAGTAGAGTACATTTGTTTTAATTAATACTCTTTGTGTACTATACCCCCTGGGTTATACTTGTTAAACTGCCTTTTGCCTTAATGAAAGCAGCAGATCATTTTGGGTATGTCCCTGTCATTTTGTAATTTGGTTAAATATTCTATATAGAACAGCTCAAGGTCAGGTAGAATACTAATATATTGTAGCTTGTTGGGTGGCATAAAAAAATTGTCTTCCTGGAATGATTCTTTGGCCAATTTTAATCCCTTTTGCAGCTTTAAGCAGATACAGTATTCTTCCTGTATGATCTGGATTTAGTTCCTTCTATCTACTTATCAACTCTGACCAGCTGTCCTCTGATTAAGAAAAGCACCCCGTCACCATGAAGCTGCAACCACTATTTCAACCTAAGGGTGCGCAGACTGATGTGCATTATTAGTTTTAAATCACGAGTGAATGGGCTTCCACTCTCAGCAAGTAGTATATTTCTGAGGTACCACTTATTACACTAAAATTTATTTAGGGAAATCAGAGTTAAGGGGGCTAAATTTAATTCAATGCCACAATTTTAAGATTTTTATTTGTAAAATAACAAAATAAAAGAATAACAAAAAGGATTTTCTTTCTTTCAATCAATCAATCAATCAACCAATCTCTATTGTCAACTACAATTTGCATTGAAAACGAGATTGCAGTTTCAGTACAGACCGTGATTGATTGAATCTTCTTTCTGTTTCATTATAATGCACAGAATAATCCACTTTTTGTTGAGCTGCTCCATCAAATAAAATCCTAATAACCTCAAATGATAAAAATTTTGAAAAATTCAAGTAATCACAACTGTTTACTTATGTCCTCCCTGTTGCCATTGACATCATCCATGTTCTATTCAGTTTCATGCTGATAAGAGAATCACATGTTTAATATTCTGGAGGGGGAAAAGGCAGCAACAGACAAGCTACACATGTCTTCAGGGACACTAAGATGAAGACGAAAGGGTCAACTGCAAGACTAATGAGTGAGAACAATCATTTAACAGGTCCCTCTAAGAACAGATTACACAATAAGCCAGTAGGTCTATGAGAGCCGATGCGCTTAATACACTTCTTTCTGAGGATTGTCAAAAAGAAGCATTCCAGGAAAAATGTAGCAGATGTACTGACAGATTAAATCTTTTCTACAGTTCTGCAGTGTTGTCAAATCCTTGGTCCGATGTTAAAGTGGGCAAAGACTTTAAATTTAATCTCGTCCGTAAAATCTGACTTCAACAGAAAAAAAAACACTTAAAAAACAAAAACACTGATTCTGATCATTCCTGTGCAGGGAAAGTGTGTGTATTCCTTCCTCTGCTTTATGATTGGCTGCTTGGGTGCTGGGCAGAACTGCACAGAGAGCCTGTCAACCATGTAGAAAGGAAGGGAAAGGTTTGTGCTACGGTATTAAAGAGCTTTAAAGGCAAGTCAAGATTAAATGTCTAGTGCCATTCAGAGGGTGATTCAGTGTTTCACTGGAAAATAAAGAAGCAGATGAAAAAAAATACTCTGAAAGCAAGATATATGTTGAAAGACTAGCATAAAAATCTCTTATATATAGCTGTATATCTATAATTCTCTATTGCCCCATTTAAAGCAACCAACTGTTTTTAGCATGACTTTACAGAAACCAGTAGACACAGTAACAGCCGTATAATGTGAATCATGCAGCATTTGTTCTATGTTTGCATTACAGTAGTATAAACTTTTTCTGGCAGTACATTTCAGAAAACGGTAAGACTATATAGTAATAAAAATGTATTTAGTGCATAACATTTTAGTCTGATTTCTACGTTTTTCAGCCATAATGAAATCATTTGGATAGTAATATCTAATCTAGGAGTTTAGGGACAAAAAGTTGCAATTTCTGACTTTCTAGCATGATTTCAGAGTCTGACCCCACTTACTCATTACATGGATACTCTGACTCAGTGCATCTAAGGGACTGTTGTAATACAGGGATGCAGAAATAGATAGTTGAGGGTCATCGAGTAAGAGATCGTCCAATATTTCACAATCAGACTGAAGTGACACAATTAGATGTGAATTAAATGTAACCTGAAAAGAGCCTTGAGGTATTCCATAATTCTCAAATAAGATCCTTTATGACTGCCAAGTAATATAAAGCCCTACTTTCCCAGATGAAATATGAACAAATGCTGCTCAAAATCAGAGTTTTCCATTGTTCTGAGCTGCAAACCAGTGTTTGATCAGCAACACTGCTAAATGGAGCAGGATAATCTAAAAATACCACCCAAAAAAAATCATTATTTTAATGCTTTCCTAGAATGTAAGTCAATTCTAAATCTGTTAAAATGCCTGCATACAGTAAGGATGATAAGGATGAAACATTTCTGTAAACACTGCAGAACATTTTAATTAAAAAGCTCCGCTCACATTTCAAGCATTCAGGCACAATTTTAAGAGCATGTGGCTCGATATTATGTGAAATTACAGAAAAAAACGAAAGGATGCATCTTCTGAAGGGAACATAGTTCCTTCTTATATGAGCATTTGCTTTTTCTCTCTTCATATCATACTATGAGAACAATAGTGTCACTGCAAACGGTGGGAGGCTGTGAGCGTGTGAATTGATGAATAATAACGCTGCCTATCATCTTGTATTGCATTGTATTAAACTGCGCTGCAAAGTGTAATTTACTGCCTATTATTCAAAAAGCAAGTTCTTATAAATGGCAATAAAAGAGCACCTGACGTATGAATCCTGTTCTTTTGAAGCCACATCAGCGTGTCTGACACACTGTCCAAGCCGACCCCTGCAAGTGACAGGCAGCGTTAAAAGCAAGGACCTGCTTGCTTCATCCTCTCCTTTCTCCCATATTTGCCCCCCCCCACCCCTCCCCCCAACCCCCCAACATCATCTATCCTCGTCACACGGCATTCTGCGCCCTTGAATGTCCTTCAGCACCCCTATCCTGTGCTGCTGAATGGATT